GGACGTCGACCTTCTCCAAGTTGAAAACGTCACAGATGACCCACACATCTGAGATGCTTGGATTACGATGTGTTATGACCACATGTCAGAGAATTCCAGGAATTCCAGCTTTGTTCACTTTTTGTGTCCATGTAGTAGAGGGAACACTAATGCTGGTCTTCTCTAAAACTATGCTTAGGTGGACTGCTCGATCTATCGCTGCCCAGTTACTCGACTTTCTTCTTGGAGTTTCAGGCTGCTGCAGAGTCACAGATACACCTCAGAGATATTCTAACACGAGCTTCCTGACATGGATTATGACCTGACATATGAGGAATATGTCAGGATATTCAGAAAGACAGAACTCAGGTGACCAGATCCCAACAAACTGACTGTTTGTAGGACAAAGACTGTTTGTGTGGAACAATGTGGGACGCATAATCTAGGATTTTGATATTGATTTGACTTTCCCAGCGTTTCTTGCTGAGTAAACAGTAACCATAAAGAGAAGCTAAAGTGCTTTTTCAGTGATCATCTCTAGGTTGTTGTTGGCATGCATCCATAAACCACATAGATCTTTTTGAACAAGCTCACATGCACTTTCATATTTTTCCATCCTACAAAATTAAAAAACCTTTCACCAAAATGTCTTTCATCAAAGTGAGCCGGTATCAACTTTGTTGTCCTAAATGGAAAGACTGGTTTGAAATAACATTTATGTTTCACAGGTCAAATCATCAGAGCAGTCTGGGTTACTTTGTAAAGATCTCTGAGTCAGGTGGACCAACGCTGGCTGACAGACTGTTTTACGTCATGTATGGACTGGATGTGGTTAAACATGACTTCTGTTTTTTAGGGAACTAGACTGACTCACGCTGCAGGAAATCTCTGAGGCTCGAGATGCACTGCAACAGAAGCAGAGGGGAAATGTTTTTCTTTCTACAGTGTAGTGGTGCCAAATAACTTGAAGACTGCATGATGATGCATTTCCAAATAACAATAAAAGAAAACTTGTTAAAATAAAAACTTGATTTTTTTTCTTTGTTGCTCGTCAGCAAGCCACAGACTATCTATAAAATGAAGATGTAGCACTTCTTCAGAACTTTAAAGATGTCAACTGAAACAGAGTTTCCTTAGATGGGTTTCAAGTTGGCATCCTAACATCCACCAGCTAACAAAGAAAACCCCCCAACAACAACTGTATATAAAAGACAGTTGTTTCTGGATCTATAAAAATGAAGCTAAATTAAATTCATAGTTGTAAAACAGGAGACTGTATAACTGTAAATGGATCTATAATTGCAATAAGCACAGCTGTTGAGTGTATCGTCTCAATCAGGAGTTTAAAGTCTGCAAAATGTTCATTTTAGAAATGATGGTAACATTTAGAGCTTAAAAGCACGATAAAGCAGGATGTGGGAGATAAACAACTCTTAAGTGATGTCACTGTGTGTATATAACT